CTGCTTAGAGAAAACAGCAACACAACTATTCATCTATTTGTTAAAAGAACCTTAAAAATGACAGCATCTGCTTTATATATACCCAGCTCCTCAGCGTGCACCAGGGACTGAATCACCAAAATCTCTGACAGTTGCTTTGTTCGGTGGAAATCAAACTACAAAGAAGAGGGCCAGGACTCCTTCATCAATCAATTATAAGCACAGTCTTTCAAGACAGCTACAGAGAGAGGTGTGAGGAAGGGGTGCTGGGAGAACAACGAGCAATAGCTCTCCTTTCCATTCCTCCTGCTCCAAGAAGTGACAGAGCTCATTCTCCACACAAGAAATATTTGCCCACCAAGTCTCCCATGCATGCAGCAGAAACAATACATGACAGTGCACTTCTGATGCCAGTTCTGGCCAAAAAAAATGAAGTACTGACTAACAGCGATTGTTAGAAAACATGCTCCAGTTGGCACAAAATAGTGGTTGGATGAACTGTCATATTTTGACAATTCATACAAGAGACCTCTTGCATGAATTTTGAGAGATCTCTAGAGAAGATGAATACTTGAGAGACAGGGAGAAGAGACATTTGTTTTCTAACTGTATGTTTTATTATTGAAAAAATGTTGAGCTGTCATAGGCATATTATCTGCAGATGAAAAACGATATAAGGAAAACAATAACTTGAAAGAAAGTAAAAATTTCTCCCTAATAAGATTTTTTTCTTCCTTCTTGCTTAGCACAGCCTTCAGTTTAGCGAGACAGATGCTGCTTTTCCTGATTTTCCTCCCTTTGGATTTCAGCAACATTGCACATGGCAAAAATACCATATAATTGTTAAACAAGAATCCTTGCATGTGTATATGGGGTCACAGCATCTGCTACTTTAATGTATTAATTCAATTCTATTAATGTGGTGTGAGTAACTGCTGTTAATCGAAATCTTGCCCTATTCTATTCACAATGTTATTTCCAAAACCATATTAGAGTACTTCTAGAATTGCAAAAAGGATGTGTTTGAGTTAAGGTGGTACATCACTTTTCCAATATCTTTACTAAGAAAGCATTGATTGTTTTTTCCTCTGGGATGAAGTAGCATTCTCCTTGTTCCTCTCCTGACTTTATCTCACTTTCTGAACAGAACTTGCTGTAACAATCAGTTCATATCCATGCATGCTGAGCCAAGAATCATGATAGCTTTATTATTCTGAAGATGTCAGTATTAGTCTGATTTGCTGCAGAATTATCAAACAAGTAGTCATGGGAACCTAACCATAACATGAATTCATCTGGATGGTGCCCTCTTTCTCTCCATCCTCCCTTTCGTTTGATGCTCAGACTCATGGAGTTTTGTGTCAGCAGTATCTACTTGGTATCCAATACACATGAATGAAATGGTATCTCGAATACATGCATGAGTATTTGAATTCAGCAAGTTGCACATGACCCACCAGAGAAAAAAAAATTTAATAACCTGACACCTTGCTGAGCAGCTGCTGTGCCACTGAGCACGAAACACGCAGCGAGAATGACCCCAAATTATTCCACAGTAAAGTAAGTCCAATGAATTTTTATTTTTTAGTTAGCAAACCCAATTCAGGAAATTAGGAACTCATTACAGATGATATTCCATTAGAAAGTGTAAAGAAAACCCCCAACAACCCTGTCAAATTAGTTTTCTGAAGACAGAGAGCTGAGCAAAATTATTAATAAGTTGTTAATAGAGGCCATCCTTTGGATTGGGCTTTTAGTACCTATTAAATCAAAGCTGTGAACGATTATGCATTCTTGTAGGTATGTGTTCCTCCCCTGCTAAACTCACATTTTCTAGACATTTTTAAGCACACTAGTCATTTGGTAGCCAAATTACCCTGACTTTTAGTCCCAGTTAACTTTGGAATACAAAACATCACTATTTCCTAAACTTCAGAGGGAGGGGAAAAAAAATCTGTAATCTATATTGCAGAAGCCTGAGAGAGGGACTTTTGCACAAAGCTGGTTCAGAATAGTCAAAGAGTTTCGCTGCTACTGGACAGACAATCTGGCAAAGAGACACACAAACAGCACAGTGATATAAGAAGAGTTAAAATGCAAAAGGCATCTCCTGTTTCCTAAATGATCCAACATGGCAACACTTATGCCTGTTATTCTCATGAAATGTGTTCTTCTTTCAAAACAGAGTTTAAGTGGGTTGAATTGAATTTGATTTTTTCTCCAATCAGTAGCACTTTCCACAGTTGCCACTATACCCTGCCAGGATCGTGCTCCAGGTTCACTGTTGTTGGGTTGGCTCAGGGGGATGCAGAGGATGGGGCAGAGAGAGGTGTGTTAACTGCATGAAGGTTTACAGGCCTAAAGGGGCACCTGTCGTCTGGAAACCCTGTTACAGAAGCTTAATAGATTTTATGTGGTGGACAATTGATTTCTTATACAATACCTGTACAGAAGAGAAAATTAACGTTCAACCAACCAGGACAAGAAATGTAATATGTGGCTGAGTGCAGTTAATCATGTAAGCCTCAAGACAGAGATCCATCAGATCTGAAAATGGGAGATTAATACATTACCATAAGTCCACATATGCAGAATGCATTAAAAGTTTGTTCTAGCCACAGGAAACAGTCTGAGTGTACCTCATGAGAACAAAAAAATACATAAAAATGTGAAGATTTAAAGTCTCTTCCTGTCCCTCAGGTTGAATTCCCAAATAATTTTGACTTCGCATCCATTTTTTTTAGCTTTTATTTTCTGAAAGGCGGATGGTTTTTGCATCTTTGAGATGACTGCTTAGATGGAGACAAATCTAGAAATCTCTAGACAAAATAGAAAAAAAGTCTTGTGAATTCATCACTCAAGTATCCTGTTGTGCCACTGATTATCTTTTGGGATTGCTGCATATGGTTTCAAAGATATCATCAGGCACTGTCCCTGCCAGAACTACCAGAGGCAGTCTGTTAGAATTTTTAATTCTGAGCAAAAGAAAAGAGAACTTATTTTGGCAGAGGAAGAGGGATATTACATGTCAATTTACTCACTCCTTCAGTCAGAGATTTCTCCAATTGCAGAACATAGGGAAAAGGTAATTAAGACAAGTAATATTGCCCCACTCTAGCAATGTCAGCCAGCTAATTAGATGGGTCCCATCAGATGATTAGGCAAACAAAGTTTTGATAGAAGTTTTACTGAGCACTCTGTAATCAGTCATGCTGGGAGAAGTGAGGAAAGCTTCTGACAGAAGAAGAAATCACTCTAGTAGTAAAGGACTGCTGGGTTTTATTTCTGCTCATGATTTATCGTGTGATTTTGGATTAACCACTGTGTGTCCTGGGACAAGAGTACTCACTTAGAGTTTGGATGGTGTAACTTTGTCTTCTTCCTTGCTCTGCTGAGTCTGATGACCTTCACAGAGCCTCGTACATCCAGGGCCAATAATCAGCTACTGAAAGGCACTGTCCACCCCTGTCATGTACATAGTTCTGGACAGAAATCCAGATCCCTGGGAAGTTTGCTAATAGACATTCAGGTGGGTGGTATGCAGAGGAATAGAGGTTTTAAGAAGTGCCCTCTCAGTCTTGAGCTATGTTTACAGGCTCTACTCCACATATCCACATCAGTCCTCTTTGTGTTGCAAATCTGAAGTGGCAGGAGTGTTCCAGCCTGAAATGAGTGACTTTGAGGGCTACTGCTACTCCTTTAATTTAAAGGAGGTTCTGCCAACTTTTGTAAACATTAAATTGCAAGGCTAAAAAATCCTCAAATTACCACTGCTTATCTTCAAGATTCTCCAGTAGTTTCAAGGTGCGTGTCCTGAATTACACCTACTGAGGGAGAAAACAGTTTAGACTTGTCCTGACTGAAGATTGTATTTTGTGTAACACCTCATCAAATTCTTGCCTTTCCTTGCAAAACAGGTGGTTGGAATATGGTAGAATTTGGTCTTGTGCAACCAGCTAAAATCATCATAAATCATTTCTGCTTAGATGCAGCACATTTATCTCCATGTGATGCTGTCAGATGGAATCAATGCATTTAAGTTTTAAGAACAAAGCCTTCCCTTAGAAAAGTATTACTGGGAAACTGAAAGAGTTTAGGAAGAAGTAATAAAGGGTAAATTAAAAATCATTCTTGCAACTTCTGAGAAAACCAAGTAAGGGAAAAAAGATTGTACTACTGTAGCTTCCAAAATGAAATTGGTGTGTCCTCATCATTCAGGCAGATACAACAGCTAGGAGCAGATATTGTATGCCAGTGGAAGGAATATATATTGCACACATAAAAGGCTGCAACATAAATTTGAAGAAATATGGGACTCCTTCATATAGGTAGGTCAAACTTTTCCCTCAAGCAGATAATTACAGGCTTGGGGTGAGTAAATCTTATTAGCCTCTCAGCACCTTATCTCCCCTCATGGAGACTGGTAGTAGATATATAGTAGATATATTCTACTTCAGTCACTTTCTGGATTGCACGTTAGATATTGCCTTATGCAGTCCAGTCCTAACTAGGACCATTGTACTTCACAGTGGAATGGCTACGGATGGCCCGTAAACAGGTCATACCAGAGAACGGAGGAAAACAGATTCCCAGATTTTGGAATGGGTGGGTGTTACAAAAGGAGATGGAAAGAAAAAAGTTCAGTACACAGCTCCTCTCTTTATGATACCACTGGATTCCAACACACCACTCAAATGTTACAGTCTGGGACCTTGTTTTTGAGTGAGCAGGGCAGGCTGGGGCAGCCCAGGTCACCAGGCACCTCCATAGAGATGGCCAAGGTCACCTCAGGCTGGGCTGGGCTGGGCTGAAATGGGACTCCTGGGCCCATGGGCATGGTGGGAGAAGGCTCCAGGGGCAGCTGGTAAGGGACAGTAAGGCTTATTAGTGCCTCCAGATGCTGACAGTACGGATATTTTACCACAGATCATTTGACCTGTGTTGTTTTACTCCAGTGTTATATCAATAACCTTAGGCAGACAGTTACAGCCTCTCGAGGATAACATATCCATGCTACTCACTGTGTCGTCCTCTATGGGAGAAGAAAGGGGATGTGTCTCTCATGACCCAGGTCAAGTTCCAAGCAGAGTAACCAGGAGGAAGAGAAGAGCTCCTTGACGGGTGATCCGAGGTGCTCAGACCTTTCAAAAAAAAAACACAAGAGAGAAAACCCCATTATGTATGACGTACCTGCAACACATCAAGTGCAAAGATCTTAAACAACTTTACAGACCACATGCAGCAAGCACTGATATTCAACTACTTGGTTCTTCCTTCCTGATACAGGAATGCACAGGGAGACAGGAGACTAATTGCCTTACATTGCAAAATTATCATCACCTAGAAAAACTGTCAAATTTCATCTCCCACTTATTTGAAGTTCTCTTTGACCTTTCAGTCCCCCAGTTTGTCTGGGTTTTTCATAAGTTTTGCTGGCATGAGGAGATCTTGCACACATGTACCCATCTTCTGTTCAACAACCCAGTGCATCTCAAAGATGCTTTTGGTGATTCAAACACTACAGTGGCCCAGAACAGGTGAGGTTCTGTACAAACCTGCACTAACTCTGCAGGACCATGATAATATTAGAGCTGATCAGAAACAGTATGTGAAATAACATATGAGACCAACGAGCAAAGTAGAATTCTGCAAGCTTTGAGAGTACAAATTTTGTCCATGAATGTTCAAGTTGGGTTTTCTGAAGACATCAGGATCTTGAGCATGCTGATCTCATTTTTTGAGGTTCTCGGGGGAAAGTAGGATTTAACTTTGTAAAAATACAGGAAGCCAAAACTTGCGTTTGGGAGCTTTGATGGATGGAAAAAATAAACCTCTAGATTTCTGATTTCTCACAAGCCATAAGGAATTTGGCGTTCAGAGAGAAAATAAAAAGTACATTTTTGATCCATTAACAAATATTTTTGCCAAGTAAGAACTCTTCAGTTACTTCCTTGAATTCTTTAAGTGCAATGCTAAATTTTGCTGTAATAATAGCAAAAAAAAAAATTGGTGATAACTCTCAATAAAAAGTTTGGAAAAACTTTCTGTAAAAATAGGCATTCACTAACATAATAATTGATTCAGAGTGTTGATGAACTGTTCTGTTAGATGAATAAATAGTAACTGATAATAAAAGACATATTCAAGAGGATAATAGTAAACAAGGTAAACGGCTGAAGACTTCGGGGAAACCCTGCTTTGATTGTAAAAGCTCTGCTTAGCCCTGCTTTCTACTTCCACTGAAGTAAAACTTGAAAATTTCAGAGGGACTTGTCAGAAGCTTAAATACCAAGTGTTAGTTGTGCCCTATCTTGTTCTCAATGCAATCTCATTTTTAGCATACTCTTGTAACTGAATAACTATAGCAAAACCAAGAGAAAAATAACCATTCTTATGTAAGAGCTGTAACTCTTGCTCATTGCTTAGAGCAGTAATCTTCTAGATAAAAATGAACTCCACACTGTACTGTAAAACATTCTTGAGTGGAAAAAAATTAATATCCCTAATGGCTCAATTAAACCTGGTCTCTATGCTAGGTTATGGTGCAATAACTAAATGCCCATTATTGTTGTCTGGAATACAGGGACACAGACAATCAGGACAGTGAGTTATGAGTGTAGGTGGCAAACCTACTGTCCTGCCTTCAGCTGTCACTGACAGGTAACTACAGAATAATCTGTATACTGGCTTTTCCTTCCTAACATCAAAACATGGTTGACACGTCTTTCAGCAGCCCCTGATAAAGCTGGTTGTGGCAAATAACGCCAGATTTCACTAGAACACTTATAATAGTTGATAAAAGCAGGGTTTTTTTCCCTACAAATGTGCTTCACTTTTATGCTAATATAAAATAATCAATAAAATAAGAATATTAATAAAAAATGAGTTCCTGAAATAAGCTGGTTTTCAAAGTGTTTTGTGTGATGTGAGATGTCTGACCAGTATCAATATCTCTGTTACACAACACCTGTACCCAATGACTCTTCCAAAATGGGGAATGATTTAATATCCTTAATGAAGATTATGGATCTCCCAAAAAACAAGAACTCCAAGGCCTCTTTACCCCAAACAGACCCAAATGCATGCAGATGTCATTCATTTTGCACTAACAGAGAGCCAAGACTTGGGGTTGCAATCCTGAGAAAACTTCACACAAACCTGAAACACTGACCTGCTTCCCACCTCTATTCTCACGGCAAAGTAATCTGAGAGAACGACACCGAGGGGCATTTCTCTTCCTAGTGCTTCAGTCACAGAACTCAAAATTAAATCTCTGAAACTACCCTGACCAGCCTTACCTGGGAATCAGTACCACAGAGATCAGCTACACTACTCCAAATTCCCTGGCACCTCTCACGTTTCCAAAAATGCCTCTCCACAGCGCATTCTTCAGAAATTGTGCCCACCTTCAGCCCCAGCTAAGTGGAAATGTTCCCTCTGGTGCCAACGTGTGCAGTAAATTGAGATAAAAAATAAAGTTGGACATCTGAGCAGAGAAGACAAGGCAGTCCAGGCACATGAACCTCCCCTCTATCAGCAGCAAGAGGTGAATAAGAGATAACATAAAAAATTGAAAGTTTTTCTCTATTTTTAAAGAACAGTATGGATTCAGTTCAGTTCACTTTAACATAATAACTTTTTTTTTTCATATTCTTTAGGATTAATTTTGGAACTTCAACTCAGATGATTTGCTTGGGCTATTGGTCTGAACTCGAAGACAAGAAGATTGTATCAGGAGTTATGAATCTTTCCCAATTAAGTTATCTTCAGAGAAAGATGCTGGGTAAAAGGTTTTTGTATAGCCAAGAGGCTACTCTTCACAGTGAGGAATGATTTGATTTCAGAGTGAGCTATGGGTTAGGGAAAGAAGAGACCTTTCTTCTTCCCCCTCCAGGGCATTTTATGTCCAGAAAGGTAATAACAGAAGATTTTTTCAGCTAAATAAATGCTTCTTGTGCAACGAGGATAATGCAAATGTAGACCACACTCTAGTCATTTTACAAAATAAAGGGGTTTTCCCCTCTTCAAAACAATTTAAGCCAGAAGGCACTGAGAAAATTTGTCTCCTTCTTTTTAGATATGTTAACCTCCCATTCCAGTTGTTTGTACCACGGTACTCTGTCACTTGTCAAAAGCAACCCTAACCTTTAAAAGAAATTAATGGATTAGCAACTGAAAGCTGACAACTCCATTTTTGGTAGACAGAAGTATGGCAAGGTACAACAGAGGTTTCTTTTATATTCCTGCCTAAAGACATATGCAGGGCCAAATCCTGACCCAAGGTGCTCCATCACAGCAAGAAACATGCACCTGAAGAGAACATATGACATTTCTGTTTTTTAAACTTGTGCAAAGGAATCTCCTTAGGGGATGTGAAATTCATTCAGCTCACCAAGAGTTCCAGTAAAAGAAAATAGAAAATGCCTCATGTACTGAAGTGAAGCCTCAAGGCTACAAATTCATTAAATAAAATATTTATGTATTATTTTAATGAAAAATACCTCTTTAATAGAACAACGTGTTCACATAAAAGTGGAACAACAAAAAAAGCTTTCTCCTGGGTAATTTTTAAACAAACAGGATTTACTCCCTTTTTTGTCTTTTCTGGAAGAAGGAAGAAACATCCCCAGCAATTAACACATAGTTTTCTAAAGTTCCATGCAGTGTAGAAACGTAAACGAATTTTTACCAAAACACTCAAGCTTCCTTTAACCAAAAAACGCATCTACATGTAACTGAATATTGCTTATTACTACCTTTGGATATTGCTTCTTTATTCAGCTTTCTCACTTTGTTGAGCTGTATTATTCACTGTTTTTTAGGGGCAAATCTGAGGTGACAAACCAGCATGTACCTGTCCTCTAGATTTCAGAGTTGCAATAGATGTGAATGATAATAACTGAGATCAATACCTACTTTCAGCTACATCTGCATCTAAAAAAATACCTCAAAATCATTCATGTTTGTTTGTGTGGAAATCATAAGTCAGTTTTAGTAGTATTTGTGGCTCTGATTTATAACAGCAATCAACAGAGCAGTTATTAGCAATTATTAAAATAATGTGCTTAGAAACAGCCGCCATTAAGATCTGGATTTTCCAATCTCTGGAAAAGCCTGACATTTCAGAAAAGGTTATTCCAGTTCTAAGTAAAAGGTGCAATTTCCCACAGAAGGATATTACGCCATAAAGATCTGGATTTTCCAGTCTCTGGGAAAGCCTGACATTTCAGAAAAGGTTATTCCAGTTCTAAGTAAAAGGTAGCAATTTTCCACAGAAAGAATATTACACAGTTATCTTTCCTCTATTAAGAAAAGGAAGGACTAAACTACTCAGAACCAAGGCAACTTTATTTCATTGAAACAAAAAAATCTTACAGAGAGCTGACTGCCCCAGGTAAGGAAACCTCTGTAGGCTTCTAAGAACCAGAGACAGGCCAAGGACATCCTAAGGAAGAGGCAGATGCAACACTGCAGGACCCTGAAGCTGAACAACTCTATCTTGCAAAAGAGGTCTCAAGACCCTGGCATTTAAGAAGCCCTATCTGGCTATGAGCAGGAAGGTGTTTGGGCTTGCTTCTGTCTAGCTGAAAGTGAGAAGTCCAGAGGTCCTTGACAAAGGATTGCTGATCTCCTAGCTCCACAGAAGTTCTTAGTTTCACTTTTTTGGGAAGGCAAAGGTATGCAAACTAAGGGAAAAAGATTGCCTGAGAATTCCCTCTCAAATTCACAACTGATCCTCACAATCACACTAGCAGTACTCGCACCACCTCTAAGAAGCTTTCATTTTCCCCCTCTTCCCATCTTCAAACATATTCAATCATCCATGAAAGTGCAAAATACACATTATATCAAGGTGAACAAGCAGCATCAAAAACAACAAATAGCCCAAGTAAAAGCTTTGTGAATAATCCATAGACTCAACTATGCTCATACATATGCTCATTGTCTATATGACATTCAGAAGCAAAATTCAAATTCTGTTTACGGTGTAGCTGGAGAACAAGGCAAAGGGCAAGCTCGTTCCATGCAGTTTCTTGCTCTGAATAGTTGGTGAGCTTTACTTACACTAATGGGTGGATGTACTCCAGGGTTTCTTTTCACAGACCTTTTTTTCTACAGTACACTGACAGTCTGTCAAGTTTATCTTTTTCAGTTAAAAAATATATTTAATAATGCATTATGTTACAATGATTTTATGTCATATTGAAAGCCTGATGAGTGCAAATAAATGATAGTATGTGTGTGCCACAGAAACTGTGTTGGATTGCTGCAGAGAAGAAATTTGCATTCAGTGGGCTGTAGCAGACCTGTGGATAGTGAATTCAGTCAGACATACTACATGAGGCATAGAAGTGATGAACAACGCTGGCTGGCAGATGCTTGATGAGTAAATTTGGGAATAGCATACACTTCCTGTACATGAAGCATGTGTCACTAATAAAATTGTATTTAACTCATCAACTGAG